AGCTATCAGAATACTAAAAATGCATAAATATATAAAAAAGAATAGAAATTCTAAAACACTTTGATGCTTATGTGGAACTTGTACATGGGTCAAGACAGTGTGTAAACAATAATGGAACAGTGATTGGTTTAATATCAGGAAAGGTATGCATCTGGGTTGTATCCTCTTATATTTATTCAAATGGTATCCTGTGCAAATCATCGGAGAAGTTGGATTATGTAACAAAGAATGTGGCATCAGGAATTGAGGAAAGCTTATTAACAGCCTGCAATACAGAGATGACATAAACTTGCTTGTTGAAAGTGAGGCGGACTTGAAGCCCTTGATGGTGAAGATCAAGGATTATAGTCTTCAGCATGTATTACAACTCAATGTAAGGAAGATCAAAATATTCACAACTGGATTAATAGGTAACATCATGATAAACAGAAAAGATTGAAGTTGTCAAGGATTTTGTCTTGCTTGGGTCCAAAATCAATGCTCATGGAAGCAACAGTAAAGAAATCAAAGGACACATTGCATTGGGTAAATTTGCTATGCAAGACCTTCCTAAAGTATTAAAAATCAAGTATATTAATTAGAGGACTAAGGTGTACCTGACCCAAGCCTTGGTATTTTCAATCACCTCCTATGTATGTGATAGTTGGACATTGAGTAATAAGACAGAAGAAGAATTGATGCATTTGAATTATGGTGCTGGAGAAGAATATTGAAAGTACCATGGACTGCCAAGAAAACAAACAAATCTGTCTTGGGATAATTAGATTAGAGCTAGAGTGCCTCTTAGAGGCAAGGATGGGGAGCCTTCGTCTCAAGTGCTTTAGGCATGTTGTCAAGAGAGACTAGTTCCTGGAGAAGGCTATTATGCTTGGTAGAGGGGCAGCAAAAGAGTGGAAGGCTTTCCACAAGCTGAATTGACACAGTGGCTTCAACAATTGATCGAGCAATTGTAAAGACGGCGCGGGTCCGGACCATGTTTTGTTCTGTTGTGTACTGTGTCATGATGGGTCAGAACTGGCTCAATGACACCTAACATCAATGTTAACTTTCCTGTATATAATCACTGGACTGTGATTATGTAAGAGAATACCTTTATTCTTAGGAAATACACACTGATGTAGTGAATATCTCAAATGGTTCATAAGAGAGAAAAATGATAAACATGCCAAAATATTGATAATAGGTTAATATGGAGGAAGGGTTAAGTTGTATACATTGCTTTAACACCAAGAGATCTTTCTAAAAGTTTCATTCTATAGCTGTCTGAAAATTCTAAGGCTACCTGCAATTGAAAATCATTTATTCTAACTGTTCATATCTATCCTATGCTCCAACATACCATTTTCAGTTACTAATATTTTTCCAACCATGAGCAATTTTATTATTTGTTTATGTTAATATCAACCCACCCCTTTGGTATTTAATATTTTTGAATTGGTTTAACATTTATGTTTCCCTAGAAAGGTTTTACATCGACTTTTTTGTATCACAAATTATATTGACAAGAACCTGAAAAGAGTCTTAATACTGAGCAGTGTAGATTTAATGGGTGGAATAACTGCTTATTAAATCTCTTGAGGAGCTACTGATTTCTGGCAAGGCAGAACCCTACCACTGTCAAATTCCTCATTCGACAAAAGGAATTTCCAGGTGAGGTTACTAAGTCATCATCAGTGACATCATTTTCAAATTTCTGTTTTTAAACTCGTTCCTGAGGACAAACAAAGCCATGGGAGGACTGTATAAAAAATGAAAAGCAAAGACAAATTGAAAAAAAACACAATTTATCATATGAAGAAACATAAACAATATTTATTAGAGACAGTGACTGCAAACAAGCAGCCAGTAAAAGCTCACATCCACAATTTCTTGGCTGTGAAGGGGTACAGACACATATACTCATAACCATAGCACTAAGATCCTAAGTTGGTTTCCAAGGAAATGCCACATGTTTGACAATCAATTGTAACTTTTTCTCCATTTGCAAAGCTGAAAATTTTAAAGCCACATTAAATGAAAGTCTAGGCAGTCAAGTAGTAAAGCACAATTATCAAAAGATGCTGCTGTGTACTTCATGAAAAACAACACAAAAATGGTAAACACAAGAAACCTTTCTCACATTTCAATAGGTCTTTTTCCTTCAAATACCATGTGTTTGGCTACTTTTTGTAAACAACTGGTGATGAGTGACGAGGCAATTACTGAGTTCTTTCCAAGTAGAAACACCATTTACTTTAACCTTTCTATAAAGTCAAAGGCCCACGTGTCCAGTCAAGTCACTCATGTGGGTGATACTACTTGCTTCTCTTCTAAAAACAACCAAAAATAACAACCTGCTTATTGACTCGACGAATTATAATAACTCCTTAATATGCATAGCAGTTTAATGTATTTTCACATCAATTATTTAAATTGGTATTTCCAACAGCCTTGTGAGGTAGGTTGGGAAAGTATACCATCCAAATTTGGAGCATGTGGAAACTGAAGCATAGACCAAGTAAGTAACTTGCAGGGCTGGGCAGGGACATGCCAATCTTTATGGTAGTGGGCCTTCTTTAATAATAAAGAGAAAAAGTCTAAAAACATTAGTGATGGGTTTATTTCAATTTATTTTGAGAAAATACTTCACTTCTATCTAGCGAAAAATAGTGATTAAGTTGGAGCAGTTGTCATTACAAGATTGGGCATGTCATTAATTCGATTAACCACTGAGATTTTAAAAAACTGCTATTTTAACTGCAATACACATTTTAGCTGCCAACACATACGGAAATTTGATGATTTGTTTTTAAGACAACTCAGCTCTGCTCTCTGAAATACAGGTTTGTCATTTGAGAGGAACCTCGCTGGCACAAGAGTTAAAGTCCTTGACAGCTAATTGAAAGGCCAGCAGTTCAAATCTCAGACAGGGAAGAAAACTGGGTAATCTTAGCATGTAGAAATTTACATTCTAGGAAACCCTATAAGGCAGCTGTACTCTATCCTATAGGGTCACTAGGGATCAGAATCAACTTCATGGCACACAACGACAACATACTTTTAAAGCAAAAACCGCAGTTCACTCTGATTTTTGTTAGGAAAATGAGGTTATGATTGAATGAAAGAATGGGGTCATATTTATTTCCCCAAAGCCTGGGTATCTGTGTATCAATGGTTTAAGTTGACAAAACGTCCAATTATGTTACCAAACCTCTCTGTCATTTGAAATGTATAATTTGGATTTGAGGACTCATAGACCATCACAGTTTCCTTTGAAGTCACCTTAGATGCTTATCCATCTCCTCTATTAAAGTATTTTAAATATGTTTGGAGGTTAGATTTTTTTTAATTGTTTTATTAGGGGCTCATACAACTCATCATAATCCATACATACATCAATTGTGTAAAGCACATTTGTACATTCATTTCCCTCATCATTCTCAAAACATTTGCTCTCCACGTAAGCCCCTGGCATCAGCTCCTCATTTTCCCCTCCCTCCCCGTTTCCCCCTCCCTTATGAACCCTTGATAATTTATAAATTATTATTTTGTCATATCTTGCACTGTCCGACGTCTCCCTTCACCCACTTTTCTGTTGTCTGTCCCCAGGGAGGAGGTTATATGTAGATCCTTGTAATTGGTTCCCCCTTTCCAACCTACCCTCCCAGACATTAGATTTTATGTTTTTTGAGACAATCTCCCAAACCATGTCTGGGAAGTACATATCTACTCCTTGTTGTGTAATTCTGACCATGACTCCTGCTCAAACTCACCAATTTTATTTTTTAAAATAATTTCATTTGGAGAATTGTACAATACTTACCACAATCCATACATTAATTGAATCAGGCATGTTTGTACATATGTTGCTTTCATTCTTTTCTAGACATTTACTTTCTATTGAGCCCTTGGTATCTGGTAGATTGTACATTATTATTTTCCTCTCTCACACCGACAGCTGTGTCCCTTCCCCCATGTTTTCTGTTGTTCTTCCCCCTGTGCATGGTTATGTGTTAATCATTGTGATCGGTACTCCCTTTATCCCTTCCGCTTCCCCCATCTTCCCCCTACCCTTCTGGTATCACTATTCCCACTCCTGTTCCTGGATTTTGTGTGTCGTGAGCGCCCATCCCTTTCTATACTTGTGTACATGGTCCGGTCTAGTCTGAATTGAGAAGCAGCACTGGGGTCATGGTAGTTGGGGAGGGGTGAGGAAGCCCCAAGGTACGAGAGGAATATAATGTGTTTCATCGATGCTTTACTGCACCTTGCTGACTCATCCCTTCCCTGTGGCCCTTCTGTAGGGAGATTGTTCCACTGTCTGCGGATGGGCTTTGGATCTCTGCTCCAGTCCCCCTCATTCTCAGCAATATGTTTTTGTTTGTTATTTGTCTGCTGAAGCCTATTACTTGGTCCCTATGACTCCTTAGGATCGCATCGGCGGTGTGCTTCTTCCATGCAGACTTGTTGCGTCACTGCTGAATGGTGGCAAGACAGGTTAGTTATTAGAGTATTGGATGGATGAGTTCGAAAGTTAAGTGATTAAGATGCTTGAGATCATCAACTCTGATTGACCAGTAATATTCAACCTGGTCAGTGACAGGTTGGTGGATGCTCTCATTTTTTATTTCCTAGGAATGATTTGATAGCCTGAAGTCATTATAAAGCTTCTAGACAAGAATGTTTTCCTCACCAAAGAATTAGAAAAGAATGGGTTTCAATGAAAAGGTTATTGGTTTGATCTAAAAACACTTGGATGGCTTAGGAAGATCTTTATGGTCTCAATCTCCCAATCATTATGGAACCTCTTTAATTTAGGAAATAACAGTAAAAAAGAATCATGTTAGCTTTATTTTACTCACAGTCATTATATATTTTCAATGGTCTACACACACACATAGGGAGTATATGTTCTATGAAGTATCCCTTTGATGAAGTATACTTTGATGAAATACGATCACTACTTGATTTAGGCATATTAAAATAGAGCAAGTGACAGACAACATAACAGGGAGAACAAAGATGATTCACAGTTTTATTCACATTTAATAAACCAAAAAAGAGGGTATGTTGTCTGGTCGTTCCCTAAAATTAAATCACAAATGTTTATAAATGCAAGAGAATTTCATATGAGAAGGAAAAAGTATCTTATAAAAATAAAATGGGTGGATCTGCAGGTTAGGAGCTTATAGATACATTTTATGGGGTTGTATATTAAAAAATACACAATAGGTCTGTCCCACAAAAGAATATTTGCATTTCATTGATCTTTGCATGTAGTGAAAACTGATCATCAACTTGCATTTTGTCTTATTATGCATGAAATTACTTACAAATTCAATAACAACAAGTTTTTCTTCTTTTTAATGCTAGAATTGAGATGCTCAAATAAACATATTCATAGATTAATGGAGTCAGAGTCTGGTGAAAAGAGAGTCTAAAAGTAGAGTACTCATATTTCCTCCAACCCCTGTTCTACATCAGTGTGATTTTAACCTTTGTCTAGGCATTTCACTATCAATGATTTAATGGTACAAGTGATGACACTTGATCTTGGCATTTTACCAAAACACGTAAGAATATGTACCCAATCCATTTTTATGAAACAAATAGGATACCTGATTAAAGGAGAAATTAAAGAGGACAAAAGGGTACAAGAGAATAAAATCAGAGATCTTGACTAAATGAAAATAAATTCAATGAAAGATAAAATTCTTATGGTCATTTCATCTCTTTATAATTTAAAAGTTTCTGAAGTCAATCTCCAGAGGTGGCGGGGGTGAAGCAGAAACCCTTTGCGTCCAAATAATAAAAATTGAGATGCCTGATTACTTGCACTGCATTAGATATTTCTATAGGGACTTAGATAAATATTTTAATTAGCCAAGGTAACTCTTCTCTAAAACACTCCTGACAGACAAGAAAGTAGGCAAAGGAAAGGAGGTGAATTTTATTTTCCTCTGTGTTGAAGAGGGAAATCCTAGAAATTTTCTACTAGAAATTTCCCAGAGTTTCAGGGCATACCTGAGTCTTGAAACCTTGAGAAGGGTTAAGTCAACCTTCTAAGATATTCATATCTTCAACCATCTTGAGATTGTAAGAAGTCTTATAGAATCGTCTATCCTTTTGATGTTTTCATACCCACCCTGATCCAAACTTTCTCCAGCATATCTAAGTAGCATACTTTTTCTAACATTCCAGCACATCTATAATCAATTTTAGAATTCAATTTTTCATTCATCTGGGAATAAAATATTCAAATCTAGGTTTTAAAAAATCAATCAGATCTCGGAGATAGCATGCCAAGGCTATGACAGTTGATTATATACAAAAGGTCCTGATGAGATGAAAATGGAGTATCTGTCCATTTAAAAAATGCACCATCTTCCCTGTAATCTCCAGTAGGAGTGATTTGCTGATAGCAAAGCCCCCGGGACAGTCTCTGATCAGCAGGCAAGCTCTTGGGCAGAAACCACGTTCAAGATCATAAATCATCAGACTATCCAGCCCAGCAGTTCAGAAAAGTTGAAAATAAGAGCACTCCTTTCTTCATTCTCTCTGATGGAACAAACCAGCCCAATTTAGGCTTCACAGGTTAATTTCCTGCAGGGTGACAACAGTCTATGGTGCATTGTGAATGCATAAGGCAGAAATGCCTGGACGAACATAGTTCCTTGTGAATTGTGGCACCTGGGGCTACTTCCTCCAACACTTAGACGTTTTCTTGGCTTCACTTCAAGGTTTCTACACATTCTAAGAGCTCTGTAAAGGGGAGGCATTTACTTTCTCTCAGGAGTTGAGAGGTAGCTTTCTGTTTTGTTATCTCTTCAGGGCTCAATACATGTATGAAGATCAGGGATCAACCCAGAAAACAAGGTATCTGTGCCCCAAGAAGTTCCAGGTCCTATTAAACAGCACAGAATTCATTTGTGTTCAAGATCTGGCTGGGCATAGAACTGATTTTACTGCTAGAAGGTGTCTCATCCCTGTCTTCAGATGCTGTTTGGTCTGTATTTCCTTCTTTCTGGCAGACTTTATGATTCCTGCAGGCACAGAAAACATGCCTAACCCATGCCCGGAAGCCTTCGGAAACACTAGTGGAGAAAAGCCTTTTGCATGGGTGAAAAAACTGGTAGAACACAAGCATGAACAGAATGGCTGTACAGTATGCAATGAGCAACTGTAGAATCAAGAGGGGTGCACACACATACATATAGATGTCAGTTTTGTGAAGGTACCACATGAGGAGGAGGAAAGCGTTCTCAATGAATCTCAGCATGTAATACACCAGTAACCGGTACCAATTTTGGGATTTGCTAATGAGGTCTGGGTTGTTGATCTTCAGTTGCACTGCTGACCAGCAGAACATGTTGATGCCAGCATACAGCAAGGTGAGGAAGCATAGCACAATGGTGGTGCCCACCCTAGTGAATGCTTTCTCGATGTTCTCAGGGAATGGAGAGCTGCTGCACCAGAAGAGGATCCAGGGGCACAAGAAGAAGCTCAAAAAGTTGAAAAACACGTCAACCACCACCCAAGTCTTCATTACTGAAGTAAAGAGGACCAGGACCACAACTCTAGTAGCAATCTCAAAGCTTCTCCAGAGAAAAATGCAGACATAGGCAAGAGGCTTCACTTTGACATCATATTCATCATACTGGATCTTGATGGCTAGGATGTTACAGCGCAAGGCTCCATACACAATGGACAACAAGGATAGAGTCATTAACAGGCCTGCAAAGAGAACAAAAAGAACAAGTTCAAGTCTCACCTCCACTAATAATCCTACTGTGACAGATGAGCTATTAGTTCTCTACTCATATTCCTTAAACCCTTCTGTTTTATATGCAATAGGCTGACTTCAGCAGTTCATATCTGCATCATTATATGCTTGAGGGATCTTTCTAGAACTACAGAAAGCTGCTCTGCCCAGATGCAAGGGAGGCTGAAATATTAGAAAATTTAAACCCATGTGAGAACCCTTAACTAATGATTGATGAACCTGGAGTGTAACCATTCCAGACCCCCGACCTCTTATGTAGAATAACTCTGAGACATGTGTTCTCTACCATTTCCCAGTGTTTCTTAATATCAATAATATTTATGTGATAGATTAATTTCTATGAGAGATATTAATTCTATGTAATGACTGTCATAAGGAGTCCCTGGATGCTACAAATGGTTAAATGCCTGATTATGATCCTAAAGGTTGGCAGGTGAAACCCTTCAGGAGGTGCCGAGATAGTTATCCTTGGTGAACTACTTCCCAAAAGCCAGAGGCTTTAAATTCCTGTGGAGTAGTTCTGCTCTACATATATGGGTCATCATAAGTTGAAACTGACTCTGTAGCAATTAACAAGAAAATTGTCTTAATAATATAATCTTTATTTTTCAATTTTCCTTTCCCTATCTCACTCCCCTTCTCTTAAACAATGATAATGCCTACTATAGGTACTCAAATCTGGGTTTCCAGGTATGATTCAGGAGCCACTCAAACAAAGACAGCTTTCTGAACAGATCTCAATCTGTCTGAATATATACAGCCCTGCCCATGCTATGTCTTCTTTCCCCTATTGGCTGAAACGTTTCTGGGGAGCAAAGACCACAACTGATACCAGTAATGGGTAATTTACCAGAAGGAACTCAACAAAAGATTACTCAATGAGCTCCTATTTCCATAAATTTGTTACTTATATTCTAAATCTAGACTATTCACTTTCTTTACTCTTCTGTTATATTCTTATATGCTGCAGTGAACTGTAGATATAGCAAACTTACTGTTATGATCAATATGTTTTGCGCTTAAAAAGAGGTTTAATGCTTCAAGAAGTTAAATTTTGGCTGCATAATTCTTAAAATCATTTCTGGATAACAGGTTTTACCAGTTTATAAGAAGTAGTAGTTTGCAAGAATAAGATGTGGTCTATTTATATTAGCATTGTGCTATGTTCAAGACTACAATATTACTGGTCTTTAATTCTAATATGTACCAAATGTATTGCCAACCCATGACCACAGACTATGTGATTAAACAGAAATACCACTTACCACAGGCTGCCAATAAATCAAAATGCTGGAGCAAGGAGGGAAGTGAAGCAGAGTTTTGACTTAGGAACGAGAGTTGGCTCTGGTCCTACTCTTGTCTCATCAGCTTATACTGGGAAAATTACAACCTCTCTAGGTTCAGTTTTCTCAGATATAAAATTGAGATGATAATATCATCCGTGTCCGCTTCTTGAAATGCAATAGCAGTGTAACATTGCCCGTGCAACATCGTCCCTGTAAGTTTCTCTATGATTTTAAATGCACGATGATAAAGTGATTTTTCCATATTTAAGTTCTAAAACAAAGGGAACACATCTATATTTTGTGGGAATAAAAATTCTGAAGGTTTGGTATTTGTTTGCATAAGATAAGATCAATTTTACTAAAAGCATCAAGTTTTTGAGTGCTGATTTTAAGTTCTGACGTCTACTAATCAAATTTCAGATAAAAATGCCATCAGGAATAGAACAAAAATTACACTGATATTTTCTGAGATATTAATTTAGTGAAACATTTTAAAGCAATACATATTAGAAATACATTTTTGCATTGTGGTCACAAATTTCCATATTCTAAAGATACAGCAATGAGACCATTTTTTAGCCTATATGTTCTATCCAATATAAGAAAAATATTTTAAATTCTAAGCAGAAAGAATGGAAATATACACTGATAAATTCATACATGTGTAATATTTATATTGTTATTTTTATGGCATCTTAATTTCAATGTATTTTCCTTTTAACAAAAATATGACCCAAATAAATTTTAAGCAATTAATTTTCTATTATTATGTCAATTATATTCAAATTACATATTTTTCTTTTACAAGAAAATTAGCCAATTACTTGTCCAATTGGTGCTTAGTAGCAATCAATCAGTGAAGACTTCTTGCAGCGAAATTATCATGAAATCATTACTTCAATCATTACTCATATTTTTGGGTGCTCAATGAATATCATTACAGATAGAAAGAGTGTCAGAAAAGCAGATATACTTGGGAGACAAGAGCTGTTATAAAATTCTTAGGATGGTACATTTTTCCCTCTAGGATTAAACTGTTATATAATGAGTGGCTAGGATGAAGTTCATGCAAATACTCACTTATTTAGATTTCCAAGGTGAAAAGTTACCTGACACTATTACCTAACCTTATCTTCACAGAGGCAACATCAAAGGGCAGTCCAACAAATTTGAAGGGCACTTCATAGAAGTCAACATTCACTAATAATATATTTTCAATTCCCAGGTGTTTGTGAGATGCTGTTTTAATCTTTTATTAGAAGATAAGACATCAGTTTAGGCAAAGTTTGAAGGCTCTGGCAATATTTCAAACCCTTGCCACACGCTAAAAGTCTCCTCCCACATGATTCTAGCCAGATGAACTCCTTCCAAATGAACTCTCTTCCTACTTCACATAGAAAATAGTTATCATTAAGCACAAATTTGCTCATTTCCTGATTTGAAACCATAAACATAATCTTTATGCAAAGTAAAAGAGAACATTTTGTTCCTAAGAATTCCTCTTGGGAAGGGAATTATAACAAAAGGGCTTCAAAATTCCATGGAAAAATTCAATTATCTTTCAATTAAAATTTCCCACAAATCTTTTGAAACATTAAAATTTTAAGACAGGGAATATTTTTTCTATTGTTTTGGAGAGGTATGGGGTCCAAGTTGGAAGATGGAAGAATGAGATGACTCTCGGTACTTCTCAGATCTTTACTTTTGAGGTAATGTAAGGATCATCATGAATACAACTGCATTAATTTGAAGTTTGACTCCACATGCCCACTTCTCCATCCTCATCACCAGCCAGCCCCATGTACCCTCCTTCTCTGACTCTAGCCAGACACAGCTAAGTCAGAGATCAAAAGTTAAAAGGATATTGTTCTTTAGATTGTTAAATAGGCAGGTGCAAGCTTTAGGTTTGGGTAGCTCTCATAACACCTTAACTTTCTGACCTGCTGACCACCCAGTTGGAGTTGTTTTCCTGCTTCCTCTTCAGGACGCCACCTGCAAGCTCAGGAGCCCACAACAAACCATCACTACTACCTGTGTGAGTTCAATAATTTACTAGAGCAACTCACAGAACTCACAGAGTGTACAGATTGATTATATTAAAAATGATAAAATGAAGAGACATGTAGCATGAGATCTAGAAAGGTTCACAACATAAAGTTTTTGTATCCCAGGAGATATACTACCCTACCAAGAGCAAATATTTTTTACCAAGTATAAAGCTCTCTGAGCCTAAGTTTTCTGGCCTTTTATTGGCCGGTCCTGCATGGCAAGCTAAATCATGCCTACTAAGGCTAGTACATAGCAAACTCCTAGGTGAGTCTTGTCTGGTCTGGCCAGGCCCCACTTTTCAGCACAGATTCTTAAGTATGGTATGAAAGTCTCCAACGAGGCACCCTCATTATCCCTGGGGTTATTTCTCCAGAGACAAAGACAAAAGACACCTTACTTAGAGTAACACCAGATCTTTTATCCATACTTGTAAAGTGACTGAACTTGCAAATGCTTCGGTCAAGTAGATTTTTTATTTTAAAAAAGTAGTGAATGCCTTCAAGGGGGACCTGAGACATCCGAGTGCTTCTAGAATTTTAACCAGATATCAGAGAGCTAGTGATGCTTAACTCTTTTCTTCAAATCTCAGTAAACAAAGCATCTTCCTTACTGTCTAAAGCCATGTTCTCTACCTGTAACACATTTCACCATTTGCCTCCTTCTCAAGAACCTATCATCTTTCTCTTCTAAAACGTTGGCTCCCTTTTTCCTGTTTCTCTTTGTTGAAGCCTTTGAACGTGCCCAAGTCTACTGCATCTAAAAAATCCATCCTTCAGAGGCATAAAAAGTACATAATTATTGAAGCAAGGTGAGGAATACATGGCGGTTCACTATAATATCCTCTCAATATTTTCATATATTGGAAGCATTCTAAAAGGAAGGAGAAGCAGAAGGGAGCAAATGAGGAAAGAGCCCTTCTTTTACTCTACATAGCTTTCTGTCTACTGTTGCGCTCTCCTTGACACCTTTCAGCCAAATATCGTTCTCCTAATCATCAGCTCCACGCAGTCTGAAGTCTGGTCATGCTACTATACTGAAACGGTTCCCAGGGTTAAGCTGGCATTCCAATGTCCAAATCTCACGAATTTCTTGAGCTCTCTTTCCTGGCCCCTTTGCAACATTGGATATTATTCATGCATACTCTCTTGAAATCCTTCCTGTAGTAATGGTCATAGTAGTTTCTTTTAGACTTTCTCTGTTTTGGTGGTCCATTCTCAGTCTTTTTTATGGGCATATCTTTCTCTCCCCAGACAAGAGCGATGGTTTTATTTTCTCCTTCTATACAGTTTTTGAAGTCCTGGTTACAATTTCTGCTAAGTGTTGAACTGCTAGCCATGAGAGAGCTGAGGCTATCTACTCCCATAACGTTTTACAGTCTTGGAAACGCTATACAGGGCCTCTTTGTGTCAGAATCAACTTGACGACAGTAGGTCTTCAGTATTCAGGGGACTACCATATTTCTGTTCCAATTGATCTGTAAGGAGACCTAGTGGCGCAGTGGTTAAGCATTGGGTGGCTAACCATAAGTCAGCAGTCTGAAACCTCAGGAGGAAGATACGGCTTTCTATTCTTTTTTAAAAAACTCAAATCATTTTACTCGGGTCTCTTACAGATAT